CGACAGAGAGAAGTGCTATTTTTTTCTTTTACATTGTTTTGATATTCCGCCTACTCAATAAAACACCTAAGCTTTTCGCAAGATGAGAGAAAGGCAAGCTTAAAAACTTAGTAGGGTAATCTATGTATTTATTACGCCTCAAATAGCAATCTCCCCTCAACATATTACTTGAACTTAGATGTGATCCTAATGAGTAATTACCTTAAAACAATATATATCTGAAAGTTTTCGCAACTTGGTCACATTGGTAGTAAGACTTAGAGGAAAGCACCTAGTTCGGAGTCCATTGTATGCATAATTATTTTCAAAGTCGGACCGTGGACGTGGTACATTTCCAGACGTTTCGCCGGCATCGTAGTCGGCATCGTCAGTGAGTCTTGCCATTCGAAGCAACATATTAGAACTCGTCAAAGGGACAAGAAAGCCCATCCTTTGACCAAACGTGTGCTAAACAGTTGCATTACCTCCCCTTCTGCCCTAGGCTATTCACATTTCCTATGTCCTCCTATCATGCCTCCCCTGTCACTATTTTTACTGTGCTTATTTTTAATGTAGTGTGGTGTGCTCCTTTGAGCGGCATTCATGAAAACCCTTCACACTCCACGCTGTCATTCTCACCCCGTTCACCCTTGTGCTGGGAGTGTTGACCAGAGTCTGTCATATTATTACGTAGTCCTTCACTGGGTCCTATTAGAATCTCCCTCTTGTCCCGTAGAATTCGTCTGTATCTCCCTTGAACATGTATTTCACTCGACCCCCATCTGTGCTATTCGAGGCGTAATTCACCTATCCCCTGCACCTGGGTGATTGATTAGAGGCTGAAGTCTCTGATTAAGTCTCATGGTCATGCTTTTGCTACATGGACCACGTCTCTGGTAAAACCTACTGTCAACCAACTAGCTCCAATCACCGCCTCGTCTATCCTGTCTCTATCCCGAATACCAAGTCTATGACTTGACATGCACTAGTTGCTTGTGTGCCAACCCACAAATGTTGTCGTACTGCTGGCTTTGTTTAGGTTCAATGTTGAACCACAACGTTTGTGGATCGGCACATAAGCGACTAGGCCATAGCAATTCAGAGACTTGGTATTAGAGATACAGACAGGATAGACGAGGCGGCGATTGGAGCTAGTTGGCTACCAGTAGGTTTTACAAGAGACGTGGTCCATGTAGCAAAGGAATGACTATAAGACTTACTCGGAGGCTTTAGCCTCTAATCAATCAATTGTTACTACGTGACAATATGACAGACTCTGGTCAACATTCCCTGCACAAGGGTGAAGGGGGTGATAACGTTAGTGTGGAGTGTGAAGGGTTTTCATGAAGGCCGCTCGAAAGAGCACACCACACTAGATTATAAACAGGCACGGTAAAAAGTGTGACAGAGAAGGCATAATAGGAGGATATAGGAAATGTGAATAGCCCAGGGCAGAAGGGGAGATACGACAACTGTTTAGCACACGTTTTGTCAAAGGATGGGCTTCAGTTGTCTCCTTAACGATTTGTAATATGGTGCTACGAATGACGAGACTCACTGACGATGCCAACGAAACGTCTGGGAAAGTACCACGTCCACGATCCGACTTTAGAAATGATCATGCATACAATTGACTCCGGACTAGGTGCATTCCTCTAAGTCTTACTACCAATGTGACCAAGTTGCGAATACAAGGTGAAACAACTTCTATACAACAAAAGGAGACTGTGACCACACAAAATGCCGCACCATCTTGGTCTTCATACCTTCAAATATATGTCTGAATTTACCGATCTCCTGGTCCCTGGGATTTACTTTTGCTAGACGTAGACTCCTTATTATAATTGATTTCATAGCCCCTACTTTAATTATATATGCGTGATTGAATAATACATTAATAAGTAAATCCGCGTGTGTGGGTTTCCTAAACACGTATATGCTCAACTTATTACTTGCTTTGCTAACTAACACATCCAGAAAAGGTAATTTATTTTCTTTTTTTAACTCATTACTTTTGGTTTAATATGTTTTTGCGCTCTTTCGTATAATATGGACTTTTACTTTGATGTCTATCACAGTACTGACAATAGCTTAGCACAGATTCATTGGTGTCGCAGGACAGTGAGCCGAGGACTTCTTCGCACAATCCAACACTCTTCATTCCTCGGCAGTCTTCCTTCGGTGTTCGGTGAGACCATTAAACGAATTCCTTTCAACCAGCTTTTCCTTCAAAATGGAAATTCATGTCACAATAGACAAATACAAGTTTGCTAAATCGACAATCCCACCACAGAATGTTATATGGGAAAATGTCTGGCCTTCCTTAAAATTCATATCTGCCATATGACCCAACGGCACTCGTGGCAATATTGTGTAGTATCTAACGTATCGAGACTATACAATGCATTACCATGGTTCGAGTCCCGCTGGGGGTGTTGATAAGATAAGGTCGAAAATGCAGTCCACCTTGGGTGAGAATACCTCATCCATGTCATGTCACAATATATTTGGTACTTAAGAGGCTCATCATCAGGAGTGGGTCATTCTGATAATAATACTATACGGTATAAAGCCCCCTAGGACTAAAACTTGGTCTGATCCTTAATTATGCCTCAAGATTATTCATAGCCTATCTAAAATCCCCAACTTTTGCACAACTAACAAGAGTTTAACTCGTCCCAATTCATGTTTGATTCCCAACATCCATGCTGCGCTTCTTTTACTACATCTACTCTACTCTACACGAAAGATCCAAAAATAATTTACTCTGATATAGAAGGTGGGAACAAGAATAAAATTGATTCAGTTTTGTGGTGCAAGGGATTATAGTCATCATATACAATTTCATATACTTTCTTATGTAAACAGAAAGGTATCTTTTCAGTAGTAGTCAATACGTCTCAAACGCTAAAGAATCAGTTACTTATAACTAGTCGAAATGAAAGAATGCTTACCTTCCTTTATCGATCTGTTCTTCGAGAACCTCAATTGATTGATTGAGAGTGGACACCTCTCCTCTTAGGCCATGCTGGGCGGCGTCATCACCATTTTCGTTCCCCGGGCGAGATAGTCTATTTTCTAGTCGTGACTCAGCGAGTTTAAGGGATGCCTCCTTTGCTCTCTTTGCAGCTTCCAGTGCCTTAAGATCCTCTAGTTGTGTAGCCACTTCGACTTGTAGCTAAATAATTATGCGATGATTTTCAGAGGTTCGAAAATAAAAACTAAAAAAGTGTTAGCTAAAAATGTATAATTTAGGCAGGGAATGCAGATAATATTCTCAAGTAAGAGGTTGTTTGACCTTGTTTTCGCAACTTGATCATCTTTGTAGGAAGACTTAGAGGAGGGTACCTAGTCCGGAGTGCATTACATGCATGATAATTTCCATAGTCAGACCGCGGACTTGGTACATTCCCAGATGTTTCGCCGGCATTGTCAGTGAGTCTCGCCGGTTTTTGAACCACACAACAACTCGTCAAAGAGACATGTAAAGCCGATCCTTTGACCAAACGTGTGCTAAATAGTTGTGGTATCTCTCTTTCTACCCTGGGCTATTCACATTTCCTATATCTTCGTACACGCCTTAACTGTTATAATTTTTTTACTGTGCTTATTTAAATGTAGTGTGGTGTGCTCCTTTGAGCGGCATTCATAAAAACCTTTCACACTCCATGTTTTCGTAATCACCCCCTTCACCCTTGTGCTGGGAATGTTGATCAGAGTCTGGCATATTGTTACGCAGTCCTCCCTCCCTAGGGCTTATCACAGTCACTCTCTTACTCCGTAGAATCCGTCTGCTCTCTCCCTGGCCCTTTTGAGCGGCGTCCAACATTGAACCTAATCAAAACAGGCAATACCACAAGATTTGTGGGTTGGCACACAAGAGACTATGGCATAGGAAGTCATAGACTTGGTATTATGGATATAAACAGGATAGACATGGCGGAGACTGGAAAAGCTGACTGACAGTAAGTTTTACCAGAGACGTAGTCCATGTAGCAAAGGCTTGACAATGAGACTTACTCAGCGTCTTTAGCCTCGAATTAGTCTAGCAGACGCAGAGTGTGGGAAATAATGCCTCATGGAGCACATGTGGAGTGGTAGAGACCGAGTAAAATAATTGAGATTGGGAGATAGCAGACGGATCTACGGGGCAAGAGGGAGACTCTGATAAGACCAGGGAAGGAGGGCGGCGTAACAATATGGCAGACTCTGATCAACATTCCCAACACAAGGGTGAAGGAAGGGGTGTGAGAACGCCAGCGTCGAGAGTGAAATGTTGTCATGAACGCCACTCAAAAGAGCACACCACATTACATCTAAATAAGCAAGATTAAAATTGTAACAGTGAAAGCGTGATACAAGGATATAGGAAATGTGAATAGCTCAGGGTAGAAGGATACCACAACTGTTTATTACGCGTGTGGTCAAAGGGTCGGCTTCACCTGTCTCTTTAACGTGTTTTAGTATGGGGCTAAGTATAACAAGAGTCAATGACGATGCCAACTAAGATCCCGGCGAAGCGTCTGGAAATATACAACGTCAACGGTCCGATTTTGGAAATTATCATGCATACAATGTACTCCGGTCTAGGTGCGTTCCTCTAAGTCTTCCTACCAATATGACCAAGTTGTGAAAACAAGGTGAAACAAACTCTATACAATGAAAGGAGACTGTGACCACACAAAAGGCCACACCACCTTGGTCTTCATATCTCCGATTCCTAAATAAGCTTTCTTGGTAGGAATATCGTGTTTTATACACACTATGAGCTAAAAGTTATTTCACATGTGTATATACTAAGAATATCAAGGTTTTGATGAATCTCTTGATATCATATTGACGGACAGACTTTCCTTTCGTATTTAAGTACATGAAGAAGAGATTTAAAGGTCGATCCCACCAGAAGACGACTGCTGAGTCATTGTGTTCTGCAGCCATTTGGCTTTATTACGACGTTTAGGTTGACGTAGTCGAAGGGACATCCCCTCTTGTTTTGATCTTTAGTAGTAGATCATAAAATGAAAATCATCAGAGCTGGAACTCATCCTTGAAAAGTCTAACATTAACAATTAATCAAAAAGACTATCTGGCCTTATTTTATACCTTATGTACACTCATAACTAAAAAACAAAGATGTATAGGCATAGATAGATATAGAATGTAAACGAAGAAAAGTTGGGTTTCGAGGAGTCTCTTGTTTCATAATTGTTGAGCTTACTTCCATTTCGAGTCAAAATGTTGGGTGAAGAGATTCGAAGGTCGGTTCCACCAGAAGACGATGGCTGCTTCATCTTGACGAGCTGTTGATTGGCTTTACTGGAAGATTCATGCTGACGCTGTTTCCAAGGCAATCTCTTTCGATTCCGGTGAAAAGGTGCTAAGCTTTCGTCCGCCATATTGGGGAGGGAAATCTGAGCAAAGGATCAATCTTAAGGCTTCTTAATCTATCCATGAGCAGCACATAC